AAAATATTCTGATAGAACGGAATGCATTTAAAGCCACAATCTAATTTCTAGTCTTGCAAGTGTAATCAATACTCATACTTCTTACTGCTGCAGTTGCTGGTCACCTGACCTCGTGTGTCATATCCAACAACAAAGCCTCTCTGCTTAAAGTCTGAAAAACACCTCTCAAGATACTTGTAGATCCCCTGGAAAGAAAAAAAAACAAAGAAGAGAGTAGGGAAGAATTAGCTCTAGTACAGTGCACACAAACATTATACATCCTATGTGAAAGATCATTTTTAATGTCAGTAGGCAAAATACAGCTCAGCAAAAACGTCAATAATGATACTGAAAAAGCAGCATGCTTATTTTTCCCCCAAAGTGTTCACAGAAAGAAAGCAAGCAAACAGAGAAACAGTTGTGGGAAATAAAAGCAGTACAACAATAAGTGACCAAACAGCATCAACAGAAAGCTCAAGGCAGCAAAGTCCTCAAGCAGCAAACATTTGTTTTTCAATCCGTACTGTGCTTTTATGTATTCAAGCCAACTTCTTAAAGACCCAGTTGAGAAAAATCCACTTTTTGAAAGTCCATCCACTCAGGCAATAAGGCTAGTGCTAGTCTTCGTCCTTGCCTTCGCAGCACAAGTCAGACACCTTTTCAGCACTGCTTCCAAAGTGTTAGTTCTAAATTTGCATTAAAAGGATGCTTCATCCTTACCTACTCTTTCAAGCAAAAGTTTATTACTAGTGACCTGCTCCAGGTGGACAGATTAAAGTCCTCGATTTATATACTATGCAGATACAGTAGCACAAATACAAGCTGTCTTCTATACATCAAGGGAGAATATGTCCACTGGCAAGACAACAGAGAAAAAAAACCCGTGCAGGGAGAAGAAAGGGGAGCAGATGAAAGGAGTAAATTTTTAAAACACATTGGGGGTGAGGAGAAATATGCGCCAAAACATACACAGGAGAAAAAGAAACAGCCTCTCAATCAGCCACCCCTTCTTTTCAAAACAGGAGGAGATAGGTGCTCTTTGAAATAGTGCATTACATGGTGTTCCAGCTTCACCTTCCCTGTGGCCTTCACATCCATTTGTTTCCCAGTTAGAATCTCTCTGGAGATCCGTCACACAAACAACCCAGGGCAGATCACCAGTTTTAGACAACAAGATGGAAGCACTGTTGTTCATGGAAGTTTCCAGAGGCTACAGTTCACTACAATCAGAAAGCAGCCTTCCCCAACACAAACGCACCACTGAACTTACCATGGCCCAGCTTATCCTAGAAGGGCTACCCCTTACAAGGGTACGAGTTTCCTCTGGATAGAAGGAGTGGGGCTGTTCTGTACTAGAATTAAACAGATTTTTTCCCCCCAGTAGTAAGTGCAATTCTTTGCAATGTTCTTACCTGGATCTGACTCGGTATCACCAATAAGCAATCTCTCAACTGGAAAGCTAGCCTGACTCCTACCCATGAAATTCAGTTGAGCTCAATTTTTAGTGGTTCTTGCCCTTTCCACCAAAGACTGTGCTTCAAAGCATGAACAAGTGGATACTGGCATCTCTTTGGAGAACTATTTCAGTTGCAGATGTAGTGGGTCTACGGAGGGATTCACAGAGAGAGAAAAACTTTAAAATAAATAAAAAAAAATCTTTGAACACTGACTTCACTGGAAGCTGTGCCAGTGATCGCCAGCTGAGTCACCTTCACACTGAACTGAAATGTGTTGATACACAAACATGTTCACACCGCCCTGACAACTTATCAAGAACTTTCGTTGACAGTTGTAAAGAGGTAAGAGAGGAATGGGGAAAACTTGTTCAAGTTTGACTAGAACAGATTGAGTAACGTCTAAAGAGATGAACAGCAGATTTCTTATCAACAAATCCCTTATTTAGGCTGGCGGTATCTTGAGGTCAGAGCACACTGCAGAGTTTTATCTGAAGTAGTTCCTCAAACATCAAGAAACTGCACAAAAAAGAAAATTTACAGAAGCAGCAAGACCATATTAGACAAACTGGTCCTAGTTAGAAGCAGAACACAAACAGGGGCATATAAACTTTTTCAGAAGCAGCATGAATCAAGGTAAGTTCAGATAGAACAACTAACACTCCTGTCCACATAAGAAAGTCCATACATTACAAACCACTCCTTACAAATGTAAAACTGCTACATGTGATTTCTATTTCACACCTACCCCCTAGGAGCTCTCCCCGACAGCGGAGGCATCCCTTGAACTTTCTGGCAACCCTGGCATCTCTAGGATTCTGCGCATCAAATTTCTTCCTCACCCCTTACTTCCCAATGACAACCATCATAGCTGGTTTGGCTTTTTGGCGCTAGTGACCGCACCCTTATACATCTCCCAGCTTTCCATTCCCTCGTTCCTCAAACACAGAAGAACTGATTTATTTTTGTTGCAAAGTAAGGGCCTATATTGATCTTTTTAGGAGATTTGATCTTCTGTATTTTCTCCCCTGCACCTCATCCCAGCTATTTCTGCCTGAGCATTTTTGGCAGCTATTGGGTGCCACTACAATCTGAGTAACACTCTCCTCAAGGGTGAGGCGAGGTTTTTCCCAGGACATCCTCTTAAACCAGCTTCACTGTTTGACGGAGATCAAAGATTTCATATGAATAAAAACAGGAATGTCTTTACTTTCTGCCACGGAGAAGTTTTGCTTAAAATTAAGTACAAGAACAAAATACCTTAAGCTTATCCAAAGATCCCACAGCAGAAATTAGTCCAGCCCTACTGGACTTGTTTACTATCCAAACACCTTTATTAGAGCTGCAGGAAATAAAAATAAATAAAAAAATGACAGTGAGAGGAAGTGAACGCAGAGGCTCTCCGCTGTCTGCACCCTCTACTCAAGTTCACACCTATTTTTTTTCAGGTGCCATTCTCCCTTTCTCAGAGGGCAGTTAGTAACTCCAACACCTCTTGGGACAAGTCCTTTCTTTAATAAGTCTCTCAATTTAAAGAATTCCTATTTCCTTTTTATGAGACTCAGGTTTTGATAGTGTCCCCATCTAACTTCTCCTGGGATAGCTACTGCTTCTAAATTGAAGATGTCCAAGTCAACATCTTGCCATTACATACTTGGTGATAATTAATAACTTATTAGCAAGTGTCAGCATACAAAAGTGTAACCGCCTCAGTGGATCTAAACCAAAATTCTCTTTAGGTGCACTGAAGTATTACAAATATTTATACCACTGCACAGGTCAGGTGCTTTCCCTATATAAAATTCACGGACAGATCTAGTCTGCTTCTACTGCCATGTTTTAAATAATCTTCTTGCGTGTCCAGTCCCTTACCATCAATTGCAAAAGAGAAGCGAGGGGAAAGCGATGGTATCAAGAATGGGATGGGAAGATTTTTGGCTGATGAATCAAGACAGATAGTAACAGCTTTATGAAGTCCGGTATCTAAGTCTTTCAACTATTATCTTTAGCTTTGCTTATATAGCAACAGGAAACTGAGAGCAATGATGCAAAGATGAGTGGTTTTGTCGTTGCGGGGGTCAGTGACGGGTTACTCACCTATTAACAAAAGCAATTGGTTCGAGCAGGAAATCTAGGCTTTATGCATAGGTTACGTACCTACAATCTTCAGAAGAGTCAAAAGCAACTTCTGGATATTCTGTACCTTTCTGGATCCGACTTTTCACAAAATCAATATAATCATGCAAATGAACACCGCATGCACTCAAGCATGCAACTTAACTAAGGTTTATTTTAATTGAAGGAAATATTTTAATTACACTGAAGTCTACTTTTTTGAATGGCCATTTATTCCTGTAGCAGGTAATGACAAATGCAGAGAGACAGGGTTGCCCATTTTCAGATTAGGTTCAGCAAAACTGTTGATGTCCTTAGTTTCTGAAACAAGCGTACTCAAAGAAAGAGATTAAGTCTGATGCAGTTACTTCAGAAACAAGTTTTAATCCGCTTCGCAGAGATTGCTTTCTCTAACTTGATATAGGGCTTTAATAAACAACTAAAAATAGAAGCTCCACAGAGGGAGCAAATGAATACAACCCAGTTCGTTACTTTCAGAAACCAGTAATGCCCATGAAACTGAACTTGCAAACACATTCCCTGCTGACCAAAATGAAACTTTTCCCTTTCTGCCAAGAATGCGTATCAGTCAGCCGATCCAAGCTCAGTCACGCTTTCATGAGACTGGAAACACAAAGGCAGCATGCAACGTTCAGGCGCCGGGAGCATGAGCAACTCCAAATTCAGACTGCACAGCCCAAAAAGCAAAGCGACTATTATGAAATTCCTCTGCATTATCAAGATGTTTACTCTGCTTCACAGAAAACTGGACTCGTTTAAAGCAACTTCGCTACTCTTAATGATTCCATCACTGGCAACAAAATACTAGTTTTTAAACCAGTTTTTTCTTAATCTCTTCAGCTTGCTCCCACTGGATCAGTGGAGACCACCTGTACCACATCAGTAAGTTTTGTTCATACCATTACAGTATTGCAGCAGATGAATTTGGCATACTCAGATCAGTAAGGCTAGAATTCAAGGAAGCATCATGCCAAGGTGTGTCCACTTTAGAGGTTAGAAACCCAAAGAAAACTTTCTGTGAGACCCAAGACAAAACTGAAGAGAAAAAAAGGTCAAATACAAGGCTGGGTTTCAAACGCTACCAATGAGCTCCCAACATGTTACTCCTGTTCTTTTCAAAGCCTGTACAAAGAGCTATTGGAATTTGGTTTCACCACCAAAGTTTGGGCTCCAGTTGTACGAGTCAGACACTAACAGTATGTCAAACAGCTTAATAAAGTCCCAGGTCTTCCAAGTTTTAAGCACACCACTTCACCCTGAGCCAACAGAAAACAGATTGTTTCAGTCATGTCTACTGAGGGCCTTGTATCAGAGCGTTAACCTGCAAAGAGACGGCTACTTTAAAATGTTTAAGTACACGGTATTAAATGAGAGATTTTATCAACCCTTTGTAAATCATGTAATAAAACACCTCTTATCATATGGCTGAAGCTCCATTTATAAAAAAGTACTTGACAAAGTAGATAAGATTCAGTAGGTTTATCGTAACAAAACCTTTCTGTTGATGTTCCAAGTACAATGGTTACAAATACATCAGTTCATTATATTTTCAATAGTCAAGACTAAAGGTGGGAACAGATAAGATGTTTAAGTATATTTAATATACACAGTCCAAACCCATTTGTATTTTGTATGTTCATAAGGAAAGCAAATACAGAACAACCATTTTCTGACTCATGCTATTAATTTTCAAAAGGATTCAACGCTTCTCTTTCCTTGCCTCCCACTACCTTCACTGGGGTGAGAGAAAGCTATATATTGCAGATTAAGAATCCAACTGCTTTTTGCTTAATATTCACCATAGTAATTCTTGCACATACTTTATTATCGAAGTCAGGAATGATAGTTTAACAAGACTAACCCTAGATAAATCAATGTTCAAATTCGGACTCTTTCATGTGCTCAAAGTCTGGATAGTATCAGATCAATTTCAAATGCACACTGAATTAGTTTCTTATGAAGTTTAGTTGTGAAGATTAGTTATTTAATCTACTTGTTTGGGGGAAAAATTGAGAGAGGAACACATCAGCTGAAAAGCACCCTAGTACTGTACAATAAGCAAATTTAAGAACAAATCTACTATGAGACAGCAATATAGAAAAGGAGCACAGAGCACTTCGATCAAAAGCCAAATCAACATCAACTGTTCCTTCCCAAGGTGTTTATCGAAAAGGTGGGGAAAGAAGTGAGACAACAGGGGACCAAGTTCTTTAAGAATATGTCATCTGCTCTTGAACAAAACAGCGCTTCAAAGAAAAGCAGAGATGATTAAGCCTTACATTAATCAACAAGTTGATTTATTTGTCAACCAACACACATACAACTCATTAACATTGATGAAAGAGAAGCAGGGAGGGAAACAGAGAAGAGTCTGATCATTTTCCAGCCCTCTTCTGGCATGCAAGACCGAAACCAATAGAGGAAAAGAGGAGGGTAAAAGATACTGAAGAAACAAGTCCAGAAAATTGTATTTCTGGTTGTTAACTTAAACAGCTAGTCAGAAGAACCTAAAACATGGTTCAAGGAAAAGATGTGTCAGAAGCAAGGAGTCTCTGCCACCAGTCTTCCCCACCACAGCACTGATACCATTCATGAGTCCATGGCTGCCCCCATCCAGCTCCTCAACTCCACGTACCAGCTTTTGTGCCCTTCGAAACGTACACCCAGTGCCACCACCAAGCAGAGCCTCATCTCTGCCAGAGGAGCAGGAAATTAGGACTAAAGCCTCCCTGGCCAAAACTTTACCCCACATGCATGCCCATCCCATCAGACCCTTTCCAACAACACTAATATACAACTATCAAAATGGCAGTCAAGAGCTACGTCGAAGTTCCAAGATCTCTCTGGCTGTATCCAAATCAAGAAGTCCATCCCAAAACACTCTACTCCAAATTTCTTAGCAAATAATTCTATAACAGTACCTCTAAACCAAATACACAAATATTAAGTCATAGATAAACCATCAATAATTGACCTCTCTGATACAATATGTAACATAAGATTTGCAGTTTGGGAGTTTAAGTTCATATCTCAAATTGCTTTCTTGAATCTCTACTTAAAAAAGTGCCAAGAGCTACAGACAGAGCTAAAGCAATGCCAGTGTACTTAACCACAATATTTTCTACAGCTATCCAGTCCAGCTGTAGGTAACACAACCATTGTTACTGGAAGAATTCCCCAGAAGTTAAACAATTTACAATACAGATGTTCTTCACAGTCAGTCTACATTTGCTTTTTCACCTTACTTCCTGTTCATTTTCTTAGTAAAACCTGCTACTTTTGTATAGTTTTTCACAACTTTGGCTAAAAATGAAAGAAAAGGCTTGTTTGGTTGGGGGTGGGTTTGCTTTTCAGGTTTTCTTGCTGGTTTTTTTGTTTAGTCTTTGACAAATACTGTAAGTTCTTTTGACAGCTAATGATTTCCAACTTCAGAGCAGTATAATAGACTTTAACTACTGGCCAAATTCCAGTGGAAGTGATTATATTCAGCCTCCTAGGATGTCCAATTAAACCTGTTCAAGCTACTTTATTTTCTTCCAGCACTAAACATTTCATGCTATCACTCTACTGTTGAACGGCTGCTGTGTTTCACCCTCAGCTTGTATTTCAGCGGTACACTACACGACCCAAGCGTTTACTGTGAAACCATTCAGTTGTCTCCTATGCAACTATTCAGCTTACCTGTGTTGACTGGATCACCGTAAGATCATTAATGTAGCAAAAGCCTGCTCCCATAGCAGAGCGAAGACCAGCAGTCCCAAAGGTCAGCCTGCAGCAGAGACGCTCCCGTAACTCTTTATGCTTTCCATTCTGTAACAAGCTTTCAATCTGTTCTTTTGTTTTTTGGTTCTGCAAGAGAAGATTAAGGTCTTTGTTTAGTTCTTGAAATCAGGATCTGAACTATATACTTACCTGTTTTTAAGTAATTCCTAGTTCTGCAGTGCAACAAGTTCTTCCCATCCTATAAAATGCCTGTCTGCACAAACCAGCCTTCATTGTAACTCGCATTTCTATCATATTCTCTTTTCTGTATCATTCTTATTTCTAAAAGATCCAAGAGCTCTTGCTGCCGTTGATACGCTGATGTGTTTGCCTAGTCATTAACACACTTTCCAGCCATGTGAAGCCTGTAAGTGAGGAACACGGACTTCAGAACAGGTTTTTCTAAGGCAGGTAATGCAAGTTAATTCTCGATCCGTGCTGCTGGAAGACAGACAAAAATCCTAACTTCAAAGCGGTATTTCCTTCCTCCCCACCCGCAGGAAAGGTCTTTAAAAGGCACAGTAAAATAAAGCTGACATTGTAAAACCAAAAATAAAGCTTGTCTTTTCAAGTTACATTAATCATTAGTGAGGTGGGTACAAGAGAATCAAAGACCCTATTTACCACAAACTCTCAACTAAAGATGGTTATTTCTCTCTGTCAGAGAATCCCTGCCATTTCTGACACTTTCCCTGCTCAGTACATACACTTGATATGAATGGGTTGGAAAAAAAAGAAAATAACCCCTACTCCTGAAGGTAAGGATCACATGCATCATTTTAATAGCCACTTTCACTACTCTCCAAACTCAGAGATTTTTAACTGTACTTCGGAGGGTCTCAAGAATCTTGTCAGTAAAACCCAAAGAATTAGAAACAAATTTCCGCAATTACTTAAAAGTTCAGAAAGAATGCATTTTACACACAGTACGCGATACAGCCACTAAACAAAGAATTTTCCAAAGAAGTCACTGGCTGTATATTTAAGAGCTAGCATCTTTCTGAAGAAAAAAAAAATTCTGCTCCCAAAAGCAGTCCTCATGTCAGTGAAACAAAACTTTACTGTTGGTCTTAGAGAACACAAAGATAGTAGTTGCTTTATGATTTGCCCCCAAAACCAGCAAAATATACACCCACTAACCTACTCAGAGGAAACATTTAAAAACAAAATGCTACAGAAATCAGTTAATTGATGTATTGCAATATATTAACAGTCTTATGGTTCATATGGAAGAGCCAGAGACATTCTCCCTTTCTGGTATCGTTGTTAGCTGACTTACACCACTGCACCTAGGCTTGCATCACTTAGGGACATGGTTTAGTGGGCCTGGTGGTGTTGGGTCGACAGTTGGACTCGATGATCTTAGAGGTCTTTTCCAACCTTAATGATTCTGTGATTCTGTTGCAACCGAAAGCTCCCTGCAGCTACGTGCTGACGTTTGTACGGTGCGTATCGCAGCGGGGACTCGCTTGCCGGCTGCTTTGCCGTTACCTGGAAGAGGCCGTGCCAGGTCAGACCAAAGGGACGGTTAGTCCAGCACCCTGACAGCAACTGTCAGCAGATGCCTAGGAAAAGGCATAAGGACCACACAATCACGGCAGGAATGTGGACAAAGGTTCAAGGGCGATCTCAGTATTTCCCATGCAGGGAGTTCCTTATCTGCACAGGATGGCTCCTTGTATCAACAAAAGGGATACAAATACCAGACAAGTCAGGACAGAACTTTTTTAAAAATGTTGTCATCCCACGCCTTTATCATCTAAAACCCATGACTAAAATGAACGGCCACCTGACAAAGTTTGGCTAAATAGAACAGTAGGGAGCAATTCTTCTGATCTGAAACCCACTCCATTTCAAACAGTTATTCCATTTATGAAAGAATGTAAGCGTTTGTCATTTCCATGTATAGAGAATACATTTACTACCATTCCTCGTTCAGCTGAGGGAGCGGTTATACACACCTCTGAAAGGCTTAATTCAAGTATTTACCTTAAGGGAGGAAATGCTACAATCCTACGAATGTTTTAAAGTCAATCCTACGCAGCGCACAGTATGTGACGTAGCAGGGTGGTAAGAGACGCTGATTATTGAAGTCTCCCTCTGGTTGTTCAGTATTTTCCCCAAACTTGTATTACTGTTGAAGCTATGAACTTCCAAGTGTACAAAACACACGTACACACAATTTGTTCTTCACAGTTATTCTGCACCCTCAACTAATATTGACAATGGGACAAAATAGGAAAACTTTAATATTAATTACCTACGATGATTAGAATTAGATAGTCATGGAAATACCAACCACACTATCCTGGACATGTCTGGAGAGACCTGGGGGGAAGCGAGAGAAGGCGAGTCCAGTTTGACAAAGAAAAACAATGATAGAAGAATATCAACGTCTGTCCTTTTACAACGTGTACTAATAGGGAGCGATTCACCCATAGGATGCTGTTTTGAAAGAAGTGGATGAGTAAGTACCCGTATTTTATAACATAGGGATTTTGAAGGCTTTATAAAGTCATTTGGTCATCAAGAAATTCAGCCTGTCTGCTGACATCCAGTTTGGACAGGATACTTCACAGCTGTAATAAACACAGAGCAACCCTGCCAGGCTTGCCAAAGACCCAGGCAGCAGAGAAGGCAATCGATACACAGCTGTAAAACACAGTGACTCCAGCTGTATAACAGCACAGCTCAGGCTGCACAAGCGCTCCTCTAAAACGGTGTTGCTTCAAGCAGGGTCCTAAGGAGGGGTTAAAAAAGGCAAATGGAATCTGAAAGGCAAGGGTGAAGCATCCCTGACATTTAGAATAGAGGTCAGGCAGCTTCAGCTCCTGCGCTGCCTGCCACAAGGCAGCCTCCGCGGCACCGGGAAGCGTGCTCCACACAGAGGGAGGTTCTTCAGGAGGATTCAAAAAATGCTGGGAAGAGCACAACGATACGAGCTGCACGCTGTCATTAGGGAAAAAAATACTCAGTAAAACTTGTGGAAAAATCTGAAACTATTTCCACAGCTTGCTAACAGATCTCAAACACTAGCAGGATGAGACATGTGAATTTAAAGTAAATTTTAATTTCTTTGTGCCTTAAAATAAAGAGGCAAGCCATTATTGTTCAGGCTCTCAGATGGCTCTGCAACCAAAGCAAACCATTAATCACAACACAGCTAAAAAAAGGCCTAAAAATAGAACAGAAACAATGGGGCACAACAAATATTAAATCCCAGAAGTGAAAGCTTCTCTTTTAGCTGTTCATAGGCAGTCAACCAGAAAACAAATGACTAATCTGAAAAGAGTCTGAGGCAAGAGTACACGAAAACCTCATTTCACACTATCCTAATTCAATACATAGTTTTGCTTTAAAATAAGGTTATTCAATTACACAGCATCTTTAATAGCTTTTTAGGATACGCTGTATTTCTTGCCTGCAAAAATAAAATAACATGTAGTACGTTACACAGTTTATGGTCTGGAGTTTTGCAAAACTGAGGCAAGACTTTCCTGAAGCAATAGTGTAAACATTCATTTTACAAACAGATTAACATGCATTTTTTATTTAAGCGACCTTATTTATTTCCTAGGGAACAAAAATGAGTCAGCCAAAATAGCATCCAAATAACGTTTTAATTTGTTCAGGTCGCACTCAGTTAGCTAAAGTTTCCTGCAATCAGAAAAGACGACAGGAGAAAAAAGTTACAAGCTAAAAAAGAAAATCTCAAAGCTTTCCACGTATGACCTGAAACTCCTGGGGCAACAGAGAGAAGGAATTTTACAAGACTTGGCATAAATTCAGATGTGGTGATGATTTGTCTTGTGCTCTAGGTTACGCATTCAATAGCGTTAGAGACTGATCTCAAGACAGCTATTATCACAACCGTCTGTGGCACAGTCCTTACTGCTTTTCATTGTTTCCTGCTTTTCAATTTTCTCTGAGTTGGAGCTTCAAAGCGTATGGACCAGTTTAGCTTCTTGCAACGTACTGCTTGGGTATGAACACCATTTACCATACTAAACTGAGAAATTCAAAAGGCGCTGCAGTCAGGTGGGGCTAAAAGATAACGACACCTTCCATTGTTGAAGTTTAACCCTATTGCAAATTCTCAATAAACAGGTTTTTTTGCTGTTTTGCTTTACAGTTATGAAATAAAGTAATACATCTGAAAGTTTCTCAGTAGGTTTTATGAAGGTTCATTTTTCAAAGCGGAATAGTTGTAACATGAAAACACACAACAGACTTCAACATTAGAAACTGGGGTTATGCAGAAGAAAGTCTAGTATGCCTTTATGCAAAGCATATTTTCTGAAGCATTAGTATCACCGCACAGTCACTCTCTCCATCAACACTAACTTTCCTGTCATGCAAAGCAAGAGGCACTAGGAGGGTACGTCAGGTTGGTCAAGCTATGCAGCATCCCATTGCCTTTCTAAGTTCCAAGGAAATTATCATCAATCCCACCTACGGATGCAATTACATGCCGCTGAGGTGAGAGGCTTACTAGCAGCTTTAGGTAGCTCATTGATGTATTCAAAAATAACTATAACAGATCACTGCTTAGAAAAGAATTTCTCAAGCTTCTGAAGCCAAGCAAGGCAGCAGCATGAAGTTAGCACCAAACTCAATTAGCTTAGAAACACAAACTCAGACAACTGAAGTGCCTGTTCTTAACCACTGCCTGGATTAGAACGTCAGTGAGCTCCGTTAATCACAACGCAGAAGCCTAGCGTAGGCAAAAGGGAAGTTACTCAGAGATTATCAACTACAGTGTTTGGACGTTATTTTTAATATCCTTAAAAAAAACCAACACAAGACTGCCTAAAGCTTCCTGTCTTAAGCAGAAATAAACTAGGCTGTTTCATACAAAAATAGTCATTCCTTAATAAAATCAATGGTCTAAGATGTCCTTGCATCCCCAAGGACTAACAAAGCAATTCAAATTCTTCTCATGGATTTAGCAATTTAGCCCACAGAATTTAGTGCTTCTTCTAAAGTCAAGCAGTACAGGGATATCAACGATACGGAAACAGCATTTCTTTCAGTATCCACCAAAAATGCCCAATCCCTGCACTGCTGGCCAACACGACTCTCCAGAAGAGCAGCTAAAGCACTCACAGACAGCAGAGCA